TGATCTCAGGGTCCTGGGATCAAGCCCCGCATCGGGCTCCCTGCTCCGCGGGAAGCCTGCTTCTCCCTCTCCGACTCCCCCTGCTTGTGTTCCCTCTCGTGCTGTGTCTCTCTCTGTCAAATAAATAAAATCTTAAAAAAAAAAAAAAAGAATTTGCCGGTTACAGCAAGAACCCACAAGTGACTTGATAATTGGTTGACACATTGCTGTCTTCACTGATTGTTGTATTTCTAGAAATAATACATGGCCCATTTGAATTTGTAAAATTTTCATCATCATTTAAATATAATGCAGTTGAGGATAAGTTCAAATGTATTGTAATTTTGCTTTTAAGGTGCTTATTGAATACAAGTAATCATTCAGGTGTGGAGGCTTTCATTATTCAGAATATCAAAAATCAAATTGATGTGTCATTAAAGGTAAGAGCATAGCTAAGGTGTTGATTATCTTTTTTATTTTGTAGGATATATTCATTCATTTGTGGAATACATTAATGTGGACTTTACCCTATGGACTTTTTCTATATCTAGTGTTAGGGCATATTTATTCACCATTTCTGTTTTTTAAAAACCTGAATTTTGAAATTTTGTTAACTATATATTTAAATAGTATTAATTCTTTGAGCTGAGAATATGACTTTGTTTTGCTCTATACTTCTGAAATATTAATGGAAACTTAAGTCTACTCTGTTTATGAATAGTCAGTAATTCTATATTGAAAACAGAAAGAATATATCAATGTTTTCAACTGGCATTTTGTTCCCAGTGTCTACAAAAAGTGTGAAAGAATGGAAATGAAAGTTTAAAAAATATATTTTAAATGTGTAATGTTTATTTTTATAGTATGAAGGTATTAGAAAAACACATGAATTAATCAACTGTTATTTAAAACCTTTCCCAATTTTTATTTTGCTTTTCAGAGAACACATAACAACAAATGGTTTACAGGCCCACAGCTGATCTCACTTCTAGATTTGGTACTCTTTCTCCCAGAGGGTGCTGAAACAGATTTACTCCAAAACTCAGATAGGTAAGGTGACCATTACTAAGGTTCACATAGTAAATTCACAATAAAATGTGGAACCCCTTGCTTAGGAAACCTGAACAAATAAGATGTATTTTCCTGTTACATTCTGATCTATGGCTAATTCATAAAATTACATAAAGATTTTCATATTTAGGTAATTAGATACTGTGTAAAAACGAAATTAAAAATTCCTTTCCAAAATTATGACCAACAGGATGATTTTATACCTATGATGTGCCCTGCGTTCCAATACACAACTCATAGGGATTTGCAACTATAGCATTTAGTCACTATAGTGACTAAAAACTAAGAATTTCATATATATAACTTATATAAAAGACATGTGGTTTGGGTTTTATTGTTTTGTTTTCTAGGACAACATGTAATTTTATTTTCAGTCTGCTAGCATGGATGATGAGAAGTGGTTGTAAGCTTATAAAAGGAGTCTTAAAATTCAGGCAGTAAGGGATGTTATTCTCAAGTATTAAAGATAAGGCTCCCTCAGGGGAAAAGAATAGTAATTTTCACAATTGTATTTTGTGAACTTGGAGAACAAGAGTGATAATTACTACTCCAAAAGATGTGTTAAGGGGAATAATTTCTAATGGCAAACATAATTGTAAAAATATGCCCTAGGTTTTAACTTATTTTATTCATTGAAATTGCTGATTATATAAAACCGTACTGTAACAAATTATATATTTTTAATTAACAGGATAATGGCTTCATTAAATTTATTGAGATATTTGGTTATCAAAGATAATGAGAAAGACAATCAAGTAAGTGAGGTTTTTTTTTTTAAAGAAACAGTATATTCAAAATGCATGAGCCAATATTATCTTACCCAACAACAAAGGCTAGGAGAAGTACCAGCAGTTATTCTAAAACCTGAAGTTACTCTAATTCCCAGGAGCCCTTACCACCCCACACCCAGCTTCCCTTTCCTTTTCCTATTGAACCTCTGCTATCTTGCTGCAAGCATTGCTTAGCCCTGTCAGGAAGATACGTTGCAGGTCCTGAGTTAACTAAATTTTTGGAGTGTGCATATGTTTGGGTGTCTTGTTCAGTTGCCTCCACCTATAGGTCATGATTTAAGTCTAAGCTGTCTAAAATAAAACCATCTGATAATTTGATAGCCCCTCACCAGATATGACTAATTGAAGCATTTTTTTTAGATTTTAGACTTTAGATTTTATCTAAAAAAAAAAGATACTCCACCGAGTAAGCCACCCAGGCACCCCCTACCAGTACCTATTTTTGACCTGTTAAGCATGCTGAGAGCTGAACTAGTCAGATGAAAAGCTGAGAAGCAATCAGAAAGGTATATAGGAAAATTAAGAACGGATCATTCAAATACAAAACAAAGTGATTCATAATTGAATAATAATCCATTTCTTTTCCTACTATTTTGGGTTGCTGTCAGCTGACTCATTCTTTTCAGAAGTCATTCATTCCCCTTTTCACCCTATATCCCTTCACCCTTTTATCTCTCTGCATAAGTTATAGGCATCTTCTCTCACACTTCAGCTTCACAAAACTTTTCTTGAACCTCCATCTCTCTTGGTAAAACCAACTTAGTTTTTATACCTAGTGTTCTATTTGGTAGGTATCTTTATTTATTTATTTTGCTAGGTATCTTTAAATGTTAGTTGTTTTGAATTACAGTAATTTATTCTAATACACAGCCCGTAATAATTTTTATCCCTTACTTTCTGTCCTGTCTACTCATATACTTTCCCATCTGCCCGCTTACCTATTTTTGTCCTAAATTGATATTGTAATATGTTGAATGAAAGCAGGGTCAAGGGAAACCATGGGAGATTGTAAAGGCCACAAGTATCAGGAATTTTTAAAAACTGAATTATATAATGTATGCAGATTTGCTTTTAGGAAAAAAGCTGTAAGTATCTGGCATATATATACACATACATATAATTCCATATAATCCATGTTTTGGGTTTTCATTTATTGAAACATATGCCTTGTGTATTATTTCCTTCTTTTATTTCTTCATTATCATGGTTGACTGTATCTTTTGCGAGGTCCCAGTCTGTTCTGGCAATAAATTTCACTGTTTTTAGAACTGTGTAGTCTTCCTTTTTTGAGATAGGCTACAGTGCATTTTGAATTATATAGGTAAGCTTTAGAACTGAAAAAACTTTCGTTACTACATAAGTGATTCTACTTGGGAAAAATTAAAAGCAAACATTTGTGAAAACTTCACATTTTTATTTTTATCCTTCTATTTTTTTAATTCTTAAGTTACTTTTTCTAGACATTGAAGATAAATCTTAAAATGTTTTTCTTTGTAGTATTTTTTAAGTATCTAGTAACCTTATTATAAGAGAAAATATTCTTACTTCCATAGCTTTTACACTCCTACATGCTTCTAAAATTATTACAGTTCATCATATGAAAGATTTGTGGAATTATGCCGAACAGAGTGCACAACAGATTTTCTGTAACCTAATTTTTCCACGATTTTATTGCCTTAAAATCTTTAAAAACAAAAACAAGGGGCGCCTGAGTGGATCAGTCAGTTAAGCATCTGCCTTCAGCTCAGGTCATGATCTCGAAGTCTTAGGACTAAACCCCACGTCCGGCTCCCTGCTCAGGGGGGCGTCTGCTTCTCCCTTTGCCTGCTGCCCTCCCTCCCCTGCCCGTGCTCTCTCTCTCAAATAAATAAAATATTTAGTAGCCATATCTGAATATTTAAAATGTGAATCAAAAAAATTTAATTAAAAATTCAGTTTCTCATTGGCATTGGATGGGGCCATTTTAGATCATTGTATCTTAACATACAGTCCTAATCAAAATCACCTGGGTATTTGTTCCTTTATACATATAAATGTAAATTCCTGGGTTTAGCCCTAAATCTACTCAGTCACCAAGTAAAGCACAGAAATCTACATTTTTAATTAGCACATTGAAGTTTGAGAACCTTTATATAATTATGAATTATGAATAAAATCAATTTTATGAGATGTTTGTATACATGATAAAAGATATTAACTATTTAAAACTGAATAATCAAAAGTTGATTACAAAACAGGTTTTCAACTGGTCAACTTCTAGTTAAGGATAATTGGGTTCCTAAGTTTCCCTTTTACCTAAGATATTTTTTTTGTAAAGAGTACCTGGGTGGCTCAGTTGTTAAGCATCTGCCTTCGGCTCAGGTCATGATC